ACGCGCCCGCCGCACCTTCTGCAGCAGCAGCACGATGATGGGGATGAGGCGTGCGCGACTCTGCTCCAGCGCGACCAGCGTCTGCGGCGAGCGGACGAAGAGCTTGCTGTGGCCGAAGGCCACGTCCCCCTGCAGCCCATGCTGCTCCAGAAGGGCGCTCACAGCCGCTCGGTCGGAGCCCAGCAGGTGGTTGGGCCACGTGTACTCACAGGTCATCTTGTACCTGTCACCGCAGGACAGGGCAGTGCGTGTCAGGCCTAGGGGAGGTGTGAGGAGCCTCCGCCCACATGGCCCCTTAAACCCCTTCATGCCACTCAACCCTTAGTCCCGCCCACAATGCCCCACCTAGACCACGCCCTGTCGTCTGTCACCGAGGGGCCTCACGTTAACCCGTGATCACACCGCGCGGCTCCCGCGTGCCTCCATGGATGTCCGAGAAGTTGCTTTTGGGAACTCCTGCGTGCCCCTCGCCCCTGGGACTCCACATGGGGACGCAGCCCACGGGGATAAGGGACCCCGCTGTACCTGAGCAGGAATCGAGGGTAGGGCTGGCGGGAGGCAAAGCCAGCCCTGCGGACCCTCACGTTCTCCAGCAGTCCCAGATATGCGACCTGGTGGCGACAGTGGCCCTCGTCCAGCTTCGCGGCCACCTTGTCCTCGTTGGGCTTGATACAGCGCACGTAGAAGGGCTCCTGGGGGACAGAGGACTCTTGGGAGGCCAGTGTCACAGCCATGAGGCCACCCGGCAGGGGAAGCAGGTGAGCTCGGGTGTGCCATCTGTCCCTCCCCGGCTGCCGTCCACCCGGGGGAAGAGACCCGTGTGGTGACAAGGGGGGCTGAAGGGCCAGGGTGAGACTAGGGCACGAGGGGATGGTGGCCAGACCCTGGCAGGGCAGGAGGAGACCTAGCCCGGAGCAGCAGGGAGCCAGCTGGGCCGGAGGCCACCTCCTCGGCCCTCCTTCTCCCGTTTCTGGATGGTCTGCTCTTAAGCCGGCCACGGTGTCCCCCTGCTCCCTCCTCTGACTTTGAGCCCCGAGCTCCACAAGAACCTAGTGCTCTGCCATCCTTGTGGCCCCAGCTCAGGAGGCGATCCCAGCTCCTGGCAGGGCCCTGGCTGGGCCAACCAAGCTCCGAGCAGGGTCTCCTGTGCCCGGCCCCAGTGGGCTGCGGAGGCCGGCGTCTGATCCAGTGTGACCTCGAGCCGGCGCCGTCTCCCTGCTGGACAGGGGCTCGGCAGACGCACAGCTCCTCCGCATGACATGCACAGACAGTGGGGGCACAACTGGACGCCCAGGCACAGACAGAAGGATCTGGAAGGACCCAGGTGGAGCCCGGGCGGGGCCGAGGCTGGGGTGGTACCTTAGAGGCCAGGTTTTCCACCAGGGCCACCATGGAGTTCTTGAAGAGGGTGCCGGCTGTCAGGGGGCGCTTGGTCACCTCTGTGATGTCCTGCTGCCCGTCTGGCCACATGGCCCGCAGGGTGGGGTCTGTGCTGTGGACACAAGCTGCATGCCAAGCCGCCCTCGGGGAGGGTGGCCTCCACCCCAGCTGGGCCATTTGTAAGCTTCCTGGCCATGGGGAGGGGAGGCTCATGCCCGAGCTGCTGAGGGCCCTGCCAGCCCCAGCCCCGGGCCACCCACCTGTTGTACAGCAGCCGCTTGAAGTCCTGGAAGAGGGCGTCCCTGTTCTTGTCCATGAAGCCCTGTACTGAGTACCTGCGGGTGGCGGCGGAGGGCGTGAGGGCCGCGGGGCTCCTGGCACCCGGCCACTCCGTCTTCACAGGCTGGCCTCCCTTTCACTGTCCCGGCTGTGAGGCCAGCGGCTGTGCCCCTTGAGTCCCGCTCTGGCACATACAGGCCATGTGGCCCGGGGTGAGTGACTGAAGCTCTCTGTGCCCCAGCAGACGTCATGTGCTCAGAGCAGTGCCTACACACCAAGGCTCGCCCATGCACCGGGACCCCTGAATCACTGGGGACCTCAGACCCCCCTGACCCATGGAAGGCCCAGGGCCCCAGTCCCAGCCCACGTGCAGCCTGCACAGGCTCAGAGCACAGGACTGGACGTCTGGCCACTCCGTCTATTCTACTTCTCCTTGTGAGGGACACGAGGCACGTGTGCCTCTCCGTGAGTCACCTCAAATCTGCTTTGGGATGAGGCGAGAGACACGTTAATAATAATAATTGTGTGATTTCCGAAGGACACATTGGACCTCGGCACCCTGTGTGTGGCCTGAGGACAGGGGGTGGGGGGCTGGGGAGCTGGGGGGACAGAAATACAGCTCCGGCGGTGGCCGGCCCCTCCCCCACCTCTCCTTGGTGCTGACCTGCACCTCACAGGAGTTCATCTTGCTCATAATGTGAGAACCAACCCTGGGCTCAGAGCAGAGGCCCCACCTGGCTGCATGGGGGTGGGGCATTTTTAAAGCTCCCCAGGAGACTCTGTGATGTGCCCAAGGCTGAGACCCACTATATCAAAAGCCTGTGGCGAATATTTTTCAGTGTCTTAGAAAGAAGCGGGCAGAGGGAGGATAGAAGGCGGTGGAGGGGGGGAAGCCTCACGTGACGTCCCCCGCATAGTGCTTGATCCGGAAGTCTCGGCCAAACTCCATGGTCTTGTCTGTGGGGCAGAGCTGTAGGGGGGACAGGGACAGGCCAGGGTCAAGGCACAGAAGGAAGGGAGGGGGTGGACACTCCTGCAGAGGAGGCATCCAGTCCCCTGTCCCCACCGAGACAGGCGCTGTGGCGCCTGTGGGGCTTGTGCCAGCGCCGGAGCAAGCTGGACGCGGGGGCGGGGGCACCTGGCGGCTGGTGTAGTGTGGGTGGTGGCGGTGGTGCGTGTCCAGGGTCTGCAGGAAGATGCGGTCGGTGATGGTGCCCGCAGAGCTGCAGGCCTCGTCCAGCACGGCCAGAATGCCCCGGTGGGGCCGCTCCACCAGGTCCACGATGGTGGCGTTGTTGAAGTATTCCACCTGAGGCAGAAGGAGCGGTGGCTCCAGCCCAGGGCCAGACCCCGCCCCGCCCCGCCCCGCCCCCAGGCCCAGGTGCGGGGCTGCGCTCACGCTCTGCCAGGCGATGCCCTCCCGCTCGTACTCCTCCTGCTCCTGCTTCAGGATGAGCTGGATGAACAGCTGCTGCAGCTTCTCGTTGCAGTAGTTGATGCAGAACTGCTCGAAGCTGGGGGCAGGGGGCCGTCAGCACCCACCCACCAACCATCACCCGCCACCCACCAACCATCACCCGCCACCCGCCGCGGCGCGCAGGCTTCACGCCATGTGCAGTGAGGGCAGCGCGGCAGCCTCGTCCACAACGGCTGGTCCGCGGGCCCGCGCCAGGCCCCCAGGGGCCTCACTGTGGGGTGCCTCCCGCCACTCAGGCCTCTCCTCTACCCCAGCTTGTGTACCCATGGTGACGGGAGGTGAGCCGGGCTTTGGCGTCCCTGGGTGATACCACGGAGGCAGCTCGGGACGTGAGCCTGGGGTCAGGGACCAGCTAGAACAGACACCAGACTTCCTGCTTCCTGGCCCAGCCGAGCTCTTTGGGACTGAGGCGGCCCTAGAGGTTGGGGGACAGAGCATGGGGTATGGTGGCTGCCCACCCACCTGTTGACAGGGAACACTTCAAAGCCGTAGATATCTAGCACGCCGATGACCGTGTCCTTGCCGTCCCTCCGGGGGTCCCGGTCCCGGGTTTCCATGACACTGTTGATCCGGTTCACCACCCACTCAAACAGCCGCTGGTACACTGCCTAGAAGGAGGCCAGGCTGCTTATGGCTGCCTCCGGCCTTACCTCCTCCAGGAAGGCCTCCCAGATCTCACCCCCCATAATGCCTTCCCTATACGGTACCTTGGCACAGGCGTCCCGGGCGTAGCTGGCCTCAGCTGCTGTGTGGCCCTTCTCAATGACTTCCCTGCCTCCCGAGGCCACGGTGCGAGCCAGCAGGCAGCGCAGAACCATCTCCCGGGGCGTGGCCGTCAGCTCGGCCACGTGGTCTACTAGCACCTCCTCCGACACAGCCAGGCCCCCCTCCTCCTTCTCCACAAACTCGATGTTTCCCTGGTGACAGAGACCGGGCAGAAGTCAGGCTCCAGGTCTCAGAAGAGCCTGCGCGCCTTTGCCAGGGGAGGAGGAAGGGAAGGCAGGGCCCTAGCCAGCGATGTGGGAGGGGCCTGGAGCAGCCAGAGGCCTCCCCCTCAGAAGGGCACTGGAGTGACCCCAGGTGTCCTCCCCAACAGCTACGCACTGCCCACTCCCGGTGGCGCCTCACAGAGAAGGGAGGCTCAGAGGCCCTGGGTCACCTGCCCAAAGCCACGCAGGTGGTGAGTGACAGAAACAAGAGGCCGGCCTGCTGATGCCAGGCTTTCTGGCCCCAACTGCCCTGCCTGCCAAGCGCGGGCTCATCTTCCAGACACCGACTGGGCACCTCGCAGGCCTGACCAGCCACGTTCTGGGCCCAGTCTCCAGGGAGCCCACAGCAGAAGCGGCTCGGCTTCAGGAGAGGCAGGAGTGGCCAGCTGGGTGGCTGGGCTGTCAGAGGCCAGCCTCCTCCTCCACGGGTGGTTGAGGACAGCATGTGGGCCGTGGCCCCCAGCTGCGCAGCTAGGCTCACCAGGTGCAGTATGGCAGCCAGTATCCGGTGCACGGAGCCCACCTCCTCGGCCCGGAAGCCGATCACCTGCATGGCCTCTATCACCGCCTGGTGGTGGCTCTTCTCGTCACTGTCCGAGACCTGGGGGAGAAAGGGCTCATCACCCCAGGGAGCCCTGGTTCCTGCACCCAGAATGCATCTCACCTACTGCACCCGTTCCCGTGCTAAGCCCTGACTCCCGGACCCGAATGCCTGTTGAATCGGGCCTTGCTGAAGCCGCTGACCGCCAGCGCCCAGGGCCGTGGGCACCCCGGTGCACGTGGAGCCCCGCGCCTACTCACACTGAGCCCCGCGCCCTGGCGGGTGAAATTGTACAGAGTGGGGCTTCTCTGCAGGTGCAGCTCTCGCAGCTCTGAGTCTTCGCAGCCTCGCAGCACCTGGAGGACACGCCCCTCGGTCAGGCCCCGCCCACACACGCCACGCCCTTCTGCTGTCCTGGACCCAGCAAACCACGGAGCTCAGTGACCGTATGGATGCTGTCCGAGTCCAGGGAAAGCCCACTTCAGTAGCCGGAGTTGACACCCACTGAGTCCAGCAAGGAACCGTTCAGTGTCAGACACTGTGGACACCACACGAATACAGGAGCTCCCGCCTCGGTGGTCTGATGTGGTTATCACTGAATTGGATTCGGTGGGTCAGGATGATGTAGACCCACTGTGTCTAGAGTGATTCGGTGGGTCAGGATGATGTAGACCCACTGTGTCTCACCTCAGGGGGTGAGTGTGTCCGGGAAGACCCCACCTCGGTGGGTCTCGTTCAGTGTAGACACCACCAATGTCCAGATAGAATCCCCAACAGGATCAGACAGGGTGTAGACATGGCCATGTCCCTGGAGACCCGCCCCCCAGTGAAGGCGGCGCAGCGAGGGGGCGGGGAAATGGGCGGGGCCCGCCTTGCTCACCTGGTAGAAGGCGTGGAAGTTCCTTTCGCCCACGTGCTGCTTGAGGACCCGAGACTGAGGAGAGAGGTGCAGGTGGACCCGTGCTCGGGCAGCGGGAACCCCCCCCCAACGGACTTACCACAGAGCCCCAGGGAGCCCCGCCCTGTGAACCTGGGCCATCGGAAAAGGTCCGGTCCCTCCCCCAGGAGCCAGGCCTGGGAGGTCAGTGTGGCTGGGCAGCTCCGCCCCGCCCCGCCCCCAGGGAGGCCTCGCAGCCCACCTTCTCCAGCAGGTAGCTGTGGATGTGCCCCCCCACGGGGTCGCCTTTGAAGTCGAAGTTGATGTCCATGTACTTGCCGAAGCGGCTGGAGTTGTGGTTGCGGTTGGTGCGAGCGTTCCCGAAGGCCTCCAGCACGCAGGTGGACTTAAGCAGCACGTTCTTGACCCTGATGAAGCACGGGGTGGGGCTATAAGACCTGGCGCTGGGGAGTGCACCCCAGTCTAGCATCCCCGCCTGAGGCGTCACCCTGCACTGCCCCTTGCAAGCCGTAGACTGGCTCTTCACCCTGAGACGCTGCGGGAGGCACCTGCCAGCTGCTTGTGCTGGGTGAGGTCACCTCCCCACTCCCCCAGACCAGCCGCCGCCTGCAGTGAGGACATGGCTGCAGACACACTCTGCCATGGGCCTCCAGCTGCAGGGGAGCAGCTGCTGGTCATGTAGGCTCGGCACCTTCTGCCCCCTTGAACCCCACCTCACCCCACATCGACAGGAAGTGCAGGCTCCCGCACAGGAAGCTGCTCCCACCAGGCCTGGCATGAGCGCGGGTGAGCTGCCTGCGGCCCTGATTTCCGGTTCTGGCCTGCACCCGGACACCTGGCTTAGCCCGCTGGGCCTTCCTGAGCAGCTGGCCAACCTCTTTCTCCACTTCTGTCCCGTGCCCCGTGAGTGGCCCAGCCCATGTCTGTTGGACCTCTGCGCCTCACCTTCCTGTCCCCAGTGGCAGGGCGCCCCTGCACTGGGCCTCTCCTGGTCTCAGTTGAGAGGTCCTGGGTGTGGGGTACCAGGAGCCTTCCTGACAGACAGCCCCCGGAACTTGGCCCGAGCTGGGCTCAGTCACAGCCCTGCCTGCCCTCACCTCTCCACCTCGGCCCTCTGGCTTGGGTTGGTGACAGCCGCGATGTACTGCATGATGTGCTTGCTGGCTTCTGTCTTCCCCGCCCCGCTCTCCCCTGCAGGACAGCTGGACAGTCAGAATGAGGGGCCGTTCCCCCTTGCCCAGCCCCTGTGCCCACCGCTCCTGGTGCCGCAGCCGCCTCCCATCATGGACAAATGAGGGCAAGGGCCAGAGGTACCTGAGATCACAATGCAGGTGTCCCTGGACCTGCGCTTCATCGCCCTGTAGGCGGCGTTGGCCACGGCGTACAGGTGGGGCGGCCGCTCGTAGAGCTCGCGGCCCTGGTACCTGGCAATGGCCTCAGGCCCGTAGAGGGGCAGCTCCTGGTAGGGGTTCACAGACACCAGCACCTCTCCGATGTAGGTGTAGATCCGCCCCTTCTCGAACCTGGCATGGGCAAGCCCAGTCCTCAGCGCTCAGGGCCGTGGGGCACACACCCAGGTGCTGGACGGTGGGCCCGTGCAGGAGGCCCTAGCCCACCCACCGGGGGCTGAGCAAGGAGGAGGGGGAGGGTGGGCCTGAGTCTTCACCCACCGCAGCACAGTGTTGGGGCCCACACTGCTCTTCCGGGGGTCCTGACATCACAGGTGTCGTGATGCCCATTTTATGAGGGGACCCACTCGCCCAGGCCACACTGGGCAATGCAGAACCCGTAGGTGGGAGACGGGGGAGGGCCTGAGAGAAGAAAGGGGCTGGGCGGCGGAGGGAGAGGCCTTGGCAGTTTCCGGTCTTAATGGTTGGGCGGGGACCCAGAGGAGAAGGGGACCCCGCCCAGCCCCACCCAGATAGCGGGCGGAGGGGTGCCAGGAGGGCCGAGGGCTACAGCAGCCACAGCCCCCCAGCCCCTCCTGACTTCTCGCCCCTCTACTCAGTGCCTGTGTCCCCCCTCCCTGGGCTGTGCCGCCCTGGCTAGGCACCGGCTGGCCTGCTCCCCGGGGCGTCTGGGACATGCCGTCCCCTGGCGCCCATCCGAGTTCCTCTTCCTCAGCTGCCTCTGACACAGGAGCTCCCTGGCAGCCCCTCTACACTCTCTTAAACGCCACCTGGGACCCGTTCGGAGACAGTGTCCCATCTGCAGGCCGTGCGGCCTGGGGCTCAGTGTCCCACCAGAATGAGGATGGTGATCTCTATCTCTGAGCTGGTTTATAAGAATGAGGCGGAGTTACGCTTAGCTCTGTGCCACATAAAATAGCTCATCTCTGTCCCCTGACTCCAACGATCTGCTCACTGGGGCTGCCTTCTGCTCCCCCGGGGGGTCCAGGGGTGAAGCCGGCTCCTGGCAGCCACCCCATGTCACCCTGGCCCCCAGCTCCTCCCTGCCCTCTGCCCTCCTCTGTGGGAAATCAGGCCCCAGGTCACTCTACCAGTCGCACCATGCAGCCCCCATGAGTCCCCCAGAGTCTCAGCTTTCCCGTGTCCCTCGGGGCCCCCAGGGTTCGGGAGGGCCCCATGAGTGGGATGGGGCATCTGCCTGGTCTGGGTGCCAGGCAGGAGGGGCCAGCAGGCCCTGGTTGCGTGGGGGGCAGGGGTCTGGGAGTCCACCCCAGTACTGACCGGCCGCCCTGGCCCCGAGGGGACCATCCTGCCTGCCCCACCACGTCCCTCTGCAGTCACCCAGACCGTGGTTGGTGGCCGTCCACTGGATACCAGGGCGAAGGGACCAGGGTCTGGGGCCCACCTGAGCTTCAGGTTCTCCATGAAGTCTTCCATGGTCACTTGGTCCAAAAGCACGAAGTCCGGCTTACCGCACTGGGGCCCTTCCTCGTCCTCCATCCTGCCAGTGGGGCGCCCCAGGCCAGGTGGCCCGACAGACCTTCCTGTGCAGAGGGTGGGCGGAGGGAGCAGGCCCGGCCCCTCTACCCACAGCCCTCGCTGCCGCCTCCCAGCGAGCAGTGAAGTAGGAAGTGGGTTCTGGCCCCGGGGAGGGGCAGCCCCCCCACTCGAGGCTCCCCCCCCTCAGGGCCTCTGACCCCTGCTTCCTGGTCCCCAGCCTAACGGATGCTCTGGAGGGCTCCTGGCCCCTTTGGAGCCCCACCCTCTGCAACCTCTGAGTCCACCCCCATCTCAGCATCGGAGCCAGTCCCCAGCCTGCCGCGTGGAGTCGCCTGCCACACCACCATAGGGACAGGTTTCGTGATGTGACCACGGCTGCTCCCTCTGTGTCTGTGAATTCTCAGGCCTTAGCAGTAGGTGGGTTTTAGGGCAGGTACACTGTACCTGGATTAAATGAGAAAATGCCATGTGCGGGCAGGTGTCTGGGACAGGGTCCTAGGCAGTGACGGTCCTCAAGGTGTGGAGACCTCACCGGGACGGAAAGATGATAACCAGCTTCACGCGGGGCCCACCACAGGGCTGGCGTCTAGACTCACCCTGCCACGATTTGGAGTCTGGTTCCTTCCCACAGGTGCTGGGGTCCACCCACCTGTCCCTTCAGTAGTAAGGACCAGGAACAGTGCCAGGAGCCCTACCATCTGGCTCTGGGACCAGGCAGCACCTTTATAAGTGGCTCAGGTTTGTCTCCAACAGCACCCCTTGACCACGGGTGTCCCGTCCTCTGGGTGGGTGGCTCTCTCCCATCCCTGCCCTCGGCTAGAGCTGAGGGCTCCCCAAATTGAGTCACCCACATGCTGCCTTTGGGGTTTGCACTCAGAAAGCTAGTTTATTTAGCAATTGTTTTCCAATCAACTCACTTTTTAAGCTCTGAAATAACTGATATGCCAGTTATGGGTATTTTTCCCCAAAACATCTTGTAACAGCGTACTCAACTAAGCTGTAAAGCACACCAAGTGCCAGATGAAACCAGTCGCCTCCCCCCACAGGCCCAGACCCTCCCTCCCATCAGGAGCAGCTTGGGCTGCAGCCGGGGGCTCTTGGGGAAAACCCCGGGGAGTCCCACCCTCCCAAGCTCTGGACAACCCCTGACCCCAGTGCTGTGCTCGTGCAGGGGAGAATCTGGGAGTTTCACTTCCCCCAAACTCGGGGCCAATCATCTGGACCGTAGAACACGTGACAGGGACGAGCGGGCTGTCCCAGCGAAACTTCAGGACACTGATATCTGAACTCTGTAACATTTTCATGAATCATAATGTAATTTTCTTTGGGTTTTTTCACCATGAAAACCTCATGACCGTTGGCAGGTTGGGGACTGACCCACAGTGACCTTGAGCCTAACCAGCTTCCCACCCAGCACCTCGTTTACTTCACGTGGCTGAGATGACACACAAGTCCTTGGTCTGGCTGGACCTCTGGGCCTACTGGTCAGCCTTGGCCTTGTCCCTGGCTGAACAAGCGGTGACTCGATCGGCAGCTTCCCAGGGCACACCCCTGCAGGGTCTGACAGCTGGGGCCCCGTGAAGGTGGTGGGGACAGGTGGATGGCTGAGGGGCCGCTGAGGGCTGAGGCAGTGGTGTCCTCTCCTCTTTTCCAGGTCAGTTCCGAGTCAGCCCTGCCTGCCAGGGACCCTGGCTGATGGCCACTGACCCTTGTGGTACCTGCCTGTGCGTTTCTCGGCTCCTCTGCATGACTGTCCTCGTTTAGGGTTTGCACATTAAGATCCACCCCCGCCTCATCCAGAGGCACAGAGAGGAAGCTGCAGGGGAGGCCACCTCCACCGTGCCTGCCCGGAGGGGTCAGGAGGCTCCCCGACGCCTTCCGCCTCAGTCTCAGGGTGTGGCTGCCGTGACTCCACCAAACTGAATGTGAAAGTGGCCAGTCAGCTGGCCCGTTGCCACTGCTGACATCAGGCTGGGTGGGTTCGCTGGTGGGTATGACCAGGTATTTTCCAAAGAAAACAGATATGTGGGTGCACCACTCAGACTGAGGGCATCAGTTAGCACTTGGGTGGCAGTACTTGAGAGTATGCCCAGGTATGAGGACCAGCCGCAGCCCCAAATCTGACCCGGACCCGTGAGGATGTGCCTGGGGCCCCCTCCCCATCGTGCCTAGCATGGAAAGCAGCAGGCTGGACTGAAGCACACGTTTAAAATCCTGTTTATTCGATGTCCCTTGTTTCTCGTTCAGATGTCAGAGGGGCCTGGGTCGTGATGCACAGCCAGGATCCTTGTTTCTGAAGCAGACGACACAGCATCCAAACCTGGGGCCAGAGAATGTCTCTCAGACAGATACGCACACTGGGGCCCTGAGCCGCCCACAGCCGGCCAGAAGCCAGGAGTTCCTGACTCCTCCTAGGAGGGAATGGGGGGCTGAACCTCTCACAGAAGTGAGGCACAAAGCCTGGGTTCAAATCCTGCTGCACCCTCACCGGATGCATCAGTGTGGGTGAGCCACCACCTCACAGCACCGACTTCCTCATCTGTAAAAAAGAGGAAACTAGAAAAACTCGGAGACTTGATGTGAAAATTAAAATGACATAAGTATGTGGCCAGGGACTGTAATAAATGCCAACTGCCATGAGCAACAATAATAGAACGTGGGTTCCCGCTTCTGACTCCCCTGTGCGCTAAGTGGCCGGAGACTCTGCCATGGCAGGCGTCACCCTTTCCAGGCAGACACACCACTGACCTAGAATCCTGGGGGAGAAGGCTGTGCCGAATCCAAAACCATGAAGGCGATCTGGTGCCTGACACAGAGCTGGGGCCCCAGGAGCCCTGGCAGCAGACAACTGTCTGTCCACAAAATGGTTTCATGAACTTGAAGTCAATTACCCTTTCTGGGACTCAATCACCTGACTTGCAACATGGGAAGGTCAAAACAAGTAGATGGTTTTGAATGAACTTCAGAGCTGGGGGACTCGTGGAAAATGAACATAGGTAAAGCGGAAGTGAAGTGACTGGCTAGCCAGACACTGCCGCCATGCTCACCAGCGAGATCCACGGACCAGCCCAGCGGCCACGGGGTGGATGGGTCGCCACCTTTCAGGTCTCTTCCAGCTCTGACGTCCTGGGGGTTCTGGAGCTGAAACATGGGCAGGGGAACCAAGTATCATGTGCTGGGGGTGGGTGCCTGTCAGAAACTGTGAAGGGTCTGACACCCCCACCTCCAACAAGGTAGCCCCCCAGGTTCATGGGTGCTGGTGGGGGCTCAAGACTCCTCGATTATAAAGACAGCTAAGTATTCACATCAGCAGTAGTCAGAGCACCAGCCCCAGTTCCTACAGGGTGACACAAGGTGACACAGAAGGCACCACACATGCAGTGGGCTGCGTTACAAGAAAGGCCCCACGTGTGCAGGAAAGCCAGGTTGTCTACAGTGGGCGGCAGGCCCTGGAGGAAGGGCTCTCTCGTACATCCCCAGGCCACTGTCACCGGAAGGACCCTGAAAGGCAGTCTGGGCCAAGGGCTGCGGAAAGACGAGACTCACGAGGAGAGGAGTGTCTGCTGACGGCGGCCCGCGGGGGCCAGTGTGTTCAGCGTCTGCACTTGGACTGGAGGGAGAACCGAGTCCGCCGGAAGCTTCGACCTTCAAGGGAGGAGGTATGGTGTGACCTGGCCACGCTCAGGAGCACAGCTGTGCTGCCCTGCCCACGCCGGCCACCATTTCCATCCTGGCCCAACCCTGACTGCACCCCACCGCCCTTACACCAAGGCAAGGCCAAGGGCAGCCCCTCCAACCTGACCAGTCCTCCCTGTCTGGCATCCTGGGAGAGAGCAGAGCGCAGGGCTGGAGGGGCCCGGCGCCCTCTCCTATCTGCCGGTGTCCAGCTGGACGACCCCAGACCCCCTCGTGGACCTCCAAGGCTTAAACTGCGTGAAGAACCAAGAAGTTTGGCACAGGAGTTTTAAAGCACTAGTGCCCTCCTCTCCCACGGGGTTTTCTCGTACAGACAGTGGCTCGGGGCTCCGCGCTCCTGGAACCTCGCCTTCGGCGCCTCCGTCTGATCTGCCACTAACCGGAATCACTCAGGACATCAGTCCCGCAGGGCTGGGCTCGCCCGTGACTCCTGTCTACTCACTGGTCCCTGCAGCTGGCCCACCTCCACCCTTCCCACTCCCTCTGAGCTTCACTTTCAACTGCCGTAAGGCATTTCTTCGCAGGATATAGTAAAACAAAATCTGCGACAAGCCTGGAACATACCAACACCCAAAGTCCAGAACGCCGGCAAAAAAAGCGGCTGTTTTATAATCTGCACCCCAATCGCCAAATGTGGCTACTCAGCACCTGAAATGTGGGTACTATGGATGAAACACTAATCTTAAAATTTACTTAACCATATATGGCAAGTGTTTACCGCGTCAGATACAGTGCCCAGCACACCAGACACGGAAGGGAGCAGCAGTTGTCTGAAATTTCTATAACCTTGCTCTGGATGCAGCAGGGCAAGGCCTCAAACCGTTTCAAAATGTTCTTGCAAGCGCTGTAGGAATGCACGGGGTCACCGCAGACCCAAGCACGCTGGAGGCTTGCAGCCCACTTTCCTCCAAGCCCATGGGCCCTGGGCAGAGCACCGGGCCCGCCCGGAAGCCGAGGGGAGATGATCGCGGGGTTCAATCAGCCCACGTGGGTTTCTTCCAGGAGCCCACGACAGATAACCGGCAGATGGCAGAAAGGGAGGCACTCCAGACACATCCCTTCTGGCTGGGGAGGGGGGCTTGGGCGAGGCACCCCAACAAGCAGATGCGACGACAGCAGCTAACTGCACCCCTGTGACGCTGCCACTCCAGAGCAGAGCTCCCTAAACTTACCAGACCCCAGGAATACCCGTATCAACACGTCACTGCACAGAGCGGCCTTCTCTTCCATACTCTCACAGTTCAGAGGACACTTCGGGACAACAGGCAAGACAGAAGGCGGTGCGGTGAGGCCCCGGGAAATAAGGCGGAGGGCGCGGCGGGCCCAGTGCGAGGAGGCGGCACTCGCCCGGTTCGCGTGCGGCGGGGGA